ACAAAATAGACAGAAAATGTGCATGTAATGTGCACATGTCATATTTATGAAAGATCTTGAAAGGGTATGTTCATCACAAATATGACATGTATACATTGTATACACCTTTTTCCATCTGTTTTGTTAACAGAATGGAGACATAAGGGTTAAATTGAAAACTTTTCAGAAGATGAAGGGGGTACATTGTATAAATTTTTAGTTTTAGGGGGTAAAGTGAAAAAAGATAATAGGTAAAATGTAATTTTCCTTAATATTAAAATTATTTATTTTTATTAAAAGTGAAGGATTGTTGGAAGATTTTTAATAAAAATAAATATAATTTAATTCTATAATTATTTCTTAGTGAGGGTGATAGCTCACTGTTTGAGTTATCATAGCGGGTAATTGCCTTGTAACGTTGAGTCTAATGGTGATATCGTCTATTAGATGGAATTGTTTTTATTTTTGTTTTTGTTTTTGTTTTTGTTTTTGTTTTTATTTTTATTTTTTATTTATTATTTTTAAAATCAGTGATCAGTTGTTAAATTAGTATCTATAAGAAATTGAACTCACACCTACTCATTGTAAGGACTTAAACTCTTGCCTCCCATTCCATTCGTAAGAGTGGAACCCAATACCTCATCTTAGAAAAAACTTGGTGGGCAGATGGAACCTTTAAGGTGAAGGTGAGGGGTGCTCTGTTCATTATACTAGAGAAGATAAAAGAAAGAAAATCTTAGGGAGAAGAATGTAATTTTTAAAATATGAAGAGAATCTGTATTAAAAACAAAGGAAAATTATTAGATACTTTCGAAGAATGATATGACATTGTCTATGTGGCACTCCTGATTGCTAAGAAACTACAACACAAACTAAATAAGCTATCATTTGTTTCCAAATTACTTAACGAAATGAGTCATATGTCACACTCATAAAATTTTTCATTACGTGATTGGTTTAAAATACCATGTAGAAAAATACCACATTGTGCTCCAAGACTACTGAATAATTATTCAAGCGAATATCATGGGATGTCAATGTAATTTACCTTAGGATGAGTTTATTTACAAAACAAAATACCTCATTACATCCAATTTTTAATTTCACACAAACAAAAATTAAAATTTTTTAATTTCATCCCTTTACACTCTAATTGTTTGAAATGGGTTTCAATAAACTTTATTTTTTGCCAACTTTTAAGCAAAATTTAAGGTGGATCCCATTAAATATTTTTGACGGGTTTAAGTGGTATGTGTTCTATGCCGCGTGATGAATAACACTTTATATTTAGTTATTTAAAATCATTAATGGATGAATGAGAATTCAACACGTAATTGTTTTTCAAGAAAATAGCATTTGGTGAGTTTTCTACATATTATGGAATGTGTTTCTCCTACATAGGAAAGACACTTTTATACGTATATAAGTCATAAGGTTGAGACTTTCGGTTGGGACTAAAAAGTACTCAAGTTTTAAAAGGAGAAGAGTTATAAACAAAGAGGGTTGGACCCAAAAATTCAACACATACGTGTGCCACCGCCATCCAGTCGGCCGAGCTCGGGTGGAGATTGTGTGTTGAATCAATTTATAATATATTTTTTAGACGAAAACATTTTAATTTTATTGAAAATTGTTTGCGCCAGAACTTGAAAAGTTGAAATTTGAATTCAAATTTTTTCAGTTGCCTCTCTTCTGACCAAATGCATTTTCCAATCACACCTTTCTGACCAATCCGAACAACCATGAAGGCATATCCGAACAAGCACCATCTTGGCTATAAATAGCCCTCCAATTTCATTTATTTCATTTTTCATTTCCTCTTTCGTTGTTCTTCACTCTTATCTGCTTCGCATATTTTGTGCAAGTTTTAGTATATAGGAAAAGTTTGTGAAAAAGAGAGAGTTACAGCATTGGTTTGGTTTGCCATTCTTGGAATTGTAGTGTTGCATTTCTAAGTATAGTCATTGTATCTTGAGAAGTAGACGTCGGTAAAATTCAAAATATTGAAGCGAAAGCAAAATCTGTTTTAAAGAGATTGTGTCTAACATAAGCCTTGACTAAAGATTTTTATTTGTACGTTAAAGCGCTGTAAGTTTTTAATTTAGATTTTAATTTATTAAATTATTTTTTGAATTAATTTATTCTTTTATTTATTTTTGTATACATTTATTTTGCACACATTTACACGGAGAGCCACTGTGTTCTAACAATAATACCATGCCTTCATCTTTACAACCTCAACCTTACAAACTCTTTTAGAGCATCTCCAACGGTAGTAGGCATTTTACCTATCTAAATATTACTATAAAGTATATATTTTATTTTGCCTATCAACTGTTTTATGTTTTTACTCCAACCATGCTCTTTATTTTAGCTATTTATCCAAATACTATTAATTTTATAAAACGGCACATTAGCAACAAAGATGGAGAGAAATAATCCTAATGATTAAATACATTTTGCCTAACCTTAAAGGCTAGCTACATGTAGCTAGTGAATATGAGTTGAGCCAAAATGCCTAATCATATGCCTAGTGCATTGGAATTGAAAAAAGTGAATCACACTAAGCATTTTAACTAACAAGTATTATATGACTAGTGCATTGGAGATGCTCTTACGTTATACCAAACCACACCACCAAAATAGTGTGTTCAAATAAATAAGAATCGATACTTGAGTTGGCTTGGAATCGGGACCATCCTCAAAATTTTGAAAATGCCCTAATAGTATTAATTAACAATATTTGTAAATTATATATGTTTTTTTTTTTTCTTTTCTTTTATTCTTTTTGAAAAGCTAATACATGCACCCCAATCATATTTTGAAAAACAGATGTTTGGTTTTGGTTTTTAGAAAACACTTTTCAGAAAAATCTTACTTTTTATTTTCCGTATTTTTTTGTTTTCAATGAATTTTTAAAAATATTTTAAGCAATTTGTTTTAATATTCAGACACACCTAACATAAATTCACTTAAAAAGTATAATATTTGTGAAAAAAAATCTTTAAAAAAATCACTAAATATAAAAAATACTAAAAAAAGAAAGAAAAGAAAACTCAGTATATTTTTCGTATTTTGTTTATTTATTAATTTTTTAAAATAAAATTCACAAATGTTTTACTATTTAGATACATTTAAGTAAGGTGCATTTAAAAAAGTTTTAAAAAAATTATTTAAAATTTTAAAAATATTCACTAAAAACAAAAAATTACTAATATATAAGCACTTACCAGAAATCATCAAATAAAATGCCTATACAGGCTTTACAATCTTTCCAAGCCAACACTTGGATACAGAAAAATTGAGTTCTAACTCAAATACAAGAAAAAGGCCCTAGGCTTGAATGTTTAACATGTAATAAATGTTAAGACAGATTAACTTAAGAAGGTGTTCTGCTCCCAATCCAGAAGCCAAACCCTCCAAGCTAAGTCCTTTGGAGGTAGTTTATCACCTTGAACCTGAAAATGATGTTCCCATATAGTGTGATGCAGCAGCCCCAAGGTAGAAATATTACTAAACCACATATTACAATGAAAAGACCAATAGCTATCAACAGTATGTAAGCCAAATTATTCCAATTACTTCATTTTAACAGACTTCATGAACATTATTGCCAAAGATACGTTTTTAGCTTTCGCAGTTTTATAACCATGGGCGTCAGAACCTGAGCCCAAACTTATAACAGTGGAAATTCAAACAATAATTCATATTCACATTCCTTCCCAATAGTATAACAAAACAAAATGAGGACTTCAAGCTCAAAATCAAAACACTTCATACTGCCAAGTTGGATTACACATATTTTAGTGTTGGTATCAATAAAACACTTCATATAAATAAGTGCACAACCATAAATAGTGATGCCAATCGGGAGTCTGTCTCCCTATCTGTCTCCTCCAAACTAAAAATCCGGTTAGAGGTCATCCTTCACTATCCTTCCCTAAGACCGTGGATGACATCTCCTAATCTCTCCACGAACACAAACGTATGTCAAAGCAATCTCAATCAGATACGTATTATCTGTATCAATCCTGACAGTCAAAAAGTAATGACTTAAGCCAATGTGTATTAGTTTCAGTTATTTTCCTCAATTCACATGCACTGGTCTACAAAAAATCACGACTATCCTTCCACCGATAGCCAAAACAGTTATTTCTAAAACTGAAAATATAACATTGTCAACTATTCAATGGAACAAATGATACCAATTACGCCATATGCGCCATTTAATCAATAAGATCTGCCAGATTCCGTGAATTTGAAACCCTTTCCAATTTTTCATGAATACTTATACAAATTAATTCAAATAACAACAACTAGTTTTTTCCCAAAACTTACCCAAGTTATTCCCAACATATCAAATTACCAACACTTAGATACAAAACCTTATGAAGATGGAGTAGGAGAATCCCTACCTTCAAGAAAACCAACCCAAAAGGTGAAGCAGAGATGAGTGCCCAAATCACCGAAAGTGCCCAAATTGCGCCCAAATGCTCAATAAAATGGTAGCTGCCTTGCCTCACTCATCTTTTACTGAAGGATCTAGGGAGAAACACACCTAATGGGATCAAAGATCTTAAGAAAAAAGTATAGGGAGAAGAGAGAATTCGGCCCTAGGGTTGTGGAAATCAAAAAGAAATGAAAAAACTGATCAAATCCCGCGGCCTGGTAAAACTGGACAGGCTCGCTCGATGGATAGACTTGGTCGCTCGAGGCGACCAGACACAGAGAATACTACGCTCTGACCAAAGGAAGCCTTGCTCGAGCCAACAACTCAAATGCTGCCGCATCGAGAGGCGAAAAGAATCTCGGTCAGCGAAGAAACTCAAACCCTCTAGGTCCCCCGAACCCAACACAGCGCTCGAGCGATAGAGACTATGCTCGAGCGAGTAGATGTAACTAACTTCGCGTCGAGGCGATGAAAACTCGCGACCAAGAAGGCACAGCTAACAGGTCCAAATCAAGACACTACCCTCGCTCGGATGGCGAAAAACTCCTCGCTCGATGGCGCATAGATAAACCTGGACAGCAACTCTTGGGTTCTAAACCCACACCGAACCTGAAACAAACCTGCCCAATCACATCCTAAGTTCCAAATGAGAAAAAAATAAGGGACAACAACCCAATTATACAATGACAGAACTACGGAACCTAAAGCCGGATACAATAATCAAGTGGAAAAGACCGGGTCGCTAATAAGATACCAGTTGAGATTTTAAGTGTGAAATGTTACATTGAAAATTTGATAGCTTTGGGTAGATTAATAATACGCTTATTGGGAACTCACCACCAACCCACGATATTTTCAAGATCGGGAGTCGTCAAGGAAGTTAGTGTCGCCAAATTGTACCAGGTATTGTTTAGAAGAATGCTCTTCACTCATTAATGACGAAGCACTTTTGAGGTTACGTTCAAGGTTTGAATGTATGGCGCTTTGAGACTTCTTTAAGCTCCAATGTTTCATAGTCCTGAAAATATGAGTCAAATACACTGAAGAAAATCAATGGAAACGAATTTGGTATTTGAGATTTCCCAAGATTTGGCCCAAAAAAATACATGAGGCCGAAAAGGGTTGAGCTTATTAGCCTCTGAGAGATGGCATATTTCTGTGAATGGAAGAGTAATCAAAATCATTACAAGAAAGGTTACTCCTAAGCTAACTAGGCTGAAGAGGCTACTGCTGAGTTGATAGAACAAGTGGAGAAAACTGTTGCTGAGGTCAAGCTCAATACATAACCCATGTCCGGGTCCACACTCGCATACCATCCCTGAGCAGCAATTGCTTCTTCTTCTTTCATCAAGCTCATGAGCAACCTTTCGAAAGCAGAAGATCACTAAAGGCGGATTGTTAATTGAAAAGGTTTTGCTCAATGTAGATAAGGGCAGAGCGTCGTACTCTAGGCATAGTGGACTACGTCGCACAGAAAGAGTTGCCTTATATTATTATAAAAAAGCAAGAGAGTAAGAAGAAAAAGTAAATGCATGAACAAAAAGAGATCCAACGAAGGAACCATATCAAGGCTTTGACTTTGATTTCCTGACACTCTGGCATGAGCAAGAACAAGACTAACATGGAGCTTTTATAGACATAATTTGAGTGTTGGATGGTGGGGTTTTGGAAAGATTGGGGTGGGATTGGATTTCTATGTCTATATGAATTCTAAATAAATTACGTTTTGTAACAAAAATTAGTTATCATTTCTGTTAAGATCTCTTGATCTAAGTTAAAACCAAGTTTTGATGCCTTTGATTTGAAAACCATACCTATTCCCATGTTTACCATGAATTTTATAAGAGTAGTTAGTTTTACAAGCTCCTACTTCAAGAACAATGCAAAAATCAATTTAGAACATCTGAAATTTTTGACCTGCTCTGGACAGCCCTAGAAACCGAACGTGCAGTTTTGGATTTCCCGCAATGTCGTTGCCCTGTTTCAGCCAACTTTAAATAGGTCACGATCTCCCTCATGCCGATTCCGTTTAAGTTGATTTCTGGGAGCCTAATTCAACCCCGAAAATCTAGTTGCCTAATGGTGTGTGTCTCACACCCAAATTGAAGTACAAAAAAATAGGGTGGGGGTATGTTTAAATTAGTAAGTGTTCACTTACTGTCCCTACCCATCTCATGCTATTTCATCTCCTACCCAGTTTCTTTTCGTTCTCCTTATTTCCTAACACAAATTATGACCCATTAAGACTAATGAGTTAGAACCAAACATAACAGAACGTTAAGGCATAAGTAAGATCGTTATTGATTAAAAAAGAATTTAAGAGAAATAAATTTGATCAAGGAGTAATCTATTTCGATATTTTGTGTTATGTAATGGTTTGAGGTCAACAACGAAACATCTGCCCAACTCTACTGAGCACCCATGCATTGTGAGAATCAGTAAAGTAAAGATTAGTTTTTCAATTCCTATTTGATTATGTTTCGATCATGATCCTCTTAAATATCTGGATTTTTCCAACAAAATGTGAAAGAGGTAATAGAACATAGAAATGATGATGATATCTGATTGATAGATAGAAATCGGTGCCGGTTCCGCGGCCAACGAGACAGAGGCTCGTCTGTTCTTATAGCTATGAGCCACCGAATTGAGAAATGTTGGATCTCTTTTATAAAAACCATATACCTAGGAAAGCGTCTTGTGTCACGCTGAACATAAGTGAGTATGAACTAAATACTACCGTGGAAATCCCTCTCAGAGTTTGTTAACAGTCCACCTCTAGTCGCATAGCTATACATGAACTTGGGCCCGAGAGAGTGAGGCATTCGATTGTTCCATCTACCCATGATAAATAACAATGTACAAGATGACTATTTTGGACCTAAGGTCTTTTGAAAATGACGGGATGAGCGTTTTGATATATGATTGGGTCCCAATGCCGTTTGTTAATGACCCGAGTTCATTAGAAATATATATGAAACAAATATTTTAACACAACTATATTATTTCTGTTACGTAAATGTTATTTTATAGTGAATGGAATGGATGTCCTACTTTGAAATGTGATTCTGACCTTTGTAAAAGTAGCCGACCAACAACCACGTAAAAATGTTTGTTTAATGATTCAATGAAAAAACATGATTTTGATACGAAATTTTGTTTTAAAAGATTAAGATACGTTTTAGAATTTGAATATTTTTTCTAAGTTAAGGCACTCATTCATAAGCTCTTTATTCATTGTTACTCACTCGCGTTAGCTCACTTTTTACTTTATATATATAGTGGCCATCGAAGGATCACACATAGATTTTATCGAATTCCGCCTCCTAAAGCCTCCAAGAAGTGCATCCGTGTAAGGCGTAGTGTATTTTGTCTAGTTTTAGTTTTGTTTCAAGTCTTTCATATGTGTAGATCGTATAAAGCCTATTTGTATATTTGTGAAAATGAGATGAAGTTAAGATAAGCTTTAATATTTCATGTCATATTATGCACAGCTCAATGGACATTATTTTTTTGTTGCTCTGCTTTAGCCTCGAAGATTGAAATATTTCTTTAAAAATTTTGTCTTTGACCTAGTACAGGGCCGGTCCAGACCTAAACTTTAGGCGAACAGGTTTTTGGGTCCGTGACAATTCTACTTAAATTTTGAGCAAGTTTTTAGTTATAAAAATAAATAAATAAAAAGAGAAGTTTAGGACATCTTGGGTTGGTTTTCAATAATAATATAATATTATAGTATAATAATATTTTAACATTAGGTGTGTATAAGGTGAAAAAAGCCAAATGTATTTATAATGACTTTTTTTAGTTGAATGAAAAAACTATGACGTATGATACATTTGTTAGCAGCTTTTAGCCCCCTTTTTATTTGGGGTTTTTTGTAAATTTTTTTTAAAAAAATTATTGGTTAATTTTAAGAACATAATTTGAGTGGGAGTTATATTTAAAAGATAAGTCTTTAAATGGAGTTTAAAAAGAGAAAAATTTGTTTGGTTATGATTTTTAACAAATTTTGAGTTTTGGTTGTATTGAATTGTTTTGGTTTATTTTAAAATATTTAAAATTTGTTTAATTTTATTTTTGGTAATACTATTTTTTTAGTACGAGCTATTTAACTACATTCGTGCACTGTATTTCAAATCATTAATTATTTTAAAATATTTTTAAAATTATTTTTTATTTTAAATATTTAATTTTTTTCATTTTTAAATTTTAAATTTTTTGTAGAGTAGTTAATTTTTGTTCACAAAATTTTAACAATTTTAGAAAAAGGTGCTTGGTGTCACATTTTAATGATAGTTCAAAAATTTTGGAGTCGCCTAGTATATTTGTCAAATCCATCAACTAATTATTGTTCCAATACTTTTAAAAAATACAAAAGATTTTTTTTGGCATAAAATAAATAAAAATAATAAATTGAATTTTTTTTTTAAATAGAGTTTGAGAAAAGGAATTTGGTATGTAGTTGTTGAGAAAGGTGTTGACTTGATGTGTTGAGTTATGAGTTTGAAACTTTGTGAATGGGAATATGAATTCAAAACTTGAACCGAGAACGCTACCGGTGAGCTCTTTTCTTTTGGTTTTTTGTTTTGTTTTTTGAAACTTTTAACCTAAAAAGCAAATTTCAGAAACAAAGAACCTAAATCGTTTAGTTTAGAACCGTTATTTTTTTTGGCCATTTACATACCGGTCCTGATTTAATGAATTTATACGCCATTAAGTTTTTAACTAATATTTTATGACCTTTCAAGTCCATTTAATTAAATTCTTAATAGTCAAAATTGTCCTCAAAACAATGGTTGTTCATCCATTTATGATTATTATAAAAGAAAATGATTTGATATTTACTTTGATTTTCAAAAACTTTTAAAACATCACTTTCAAATTGAGAAACTAAAAAAAAAAAAAAAAAATTATGTACAAAAGAAAATTGAAAAAATTTAAAAAATTTAAAATATTTTTTGTGCAATAACTGAAAATTTGTGTCTAAAAAGGAGCAATGATGAAGGAACATTAATACATAACAAAAAGAAACACTTAAAAATGAAAAAACTGACAAGTTCTCAATTTTAAAAATTAGCAGAAAAAAAATTACAGCTTGTTGGTTAGAGTGCAAAAAACACTCTTCAGAAAATCTACTTTCTTATTTTCCGAATTGTTTTATTTAATATTTTTTTAATATTTAAGTAATTTTTTTAATTTTTAGACCAACTAACATAAATATACTAAAAAGTAAAAAAAATTGTGAAAACAACCTTTTAAAAATTCACTAATACCGAAAAAAAAACAAAAAAATAAAAATACAAGTATCAATACATTTTTGTAATTCTTCTAATGTATTATTTATTTTTGAAAATGATTTTCACAATTTTACGTTTAGATACATCTCAAGTAAGATCATCTAAAAAAGTCAACAAAATGTTTAAATTTTAAAATATCTCACTAAAACCAAAAAAAAAACACAAAAATAAAAAAAACTCAACCAAACAATGTATTCGGTTTACTTAGGATAGTTGAATCAAACCAATAGTATTAATGGTAAAAACGTTTATTCTTAAGCCTGCGTTTTTTTTCTTTTCTTTTCCTATCAGTTAGTGAACAAATTATTCAAATATTACATGCCAAAATGATAATGTTCTAGTTTAAAATTTCTAAAAAATGATAAATTACGGCAAGTTTAACTAATATAAGATTTTTGGTTCAATAAATTAATCAAGACCTAATTACCATATACATTAAAATAAAATTAAATAATTATACCTTTTTGTTTCCGTCCAAAATTTGGTGAAACTTGAAACAATACCGAGTGACCACCTCAAAAAGTTCTAAAGTCATCACTAGGTGTTTGGGTACCTAAATAAGTGTTTCTTTTGTTTTTTGGACTAAAAAAATTGAGGGAAAAAATAAGTTTTGGATTAAGTTTTGACTTTATGAACAAAATATGTATTAAAAACTTTGTATAAATTAGTGTGTAGATATAAATTAGAATGGGAGTTGTCAGCCGTAAGTTTGACTTGTTGTGATGAATGTGAATAATTTTTAACCCTTTTGGTAATTTTTGACTTTTAACTTTTTACACTTCCAAACTTAGCCTTAATCAGATTATATATCATTTTCAATAAAATATCGAGATACTTTTGTATCGAAAATTAATAGTGAATAAAAACCTCCCTCCCAGTGGCGGAGGCACGGACCAAAGGCACGTCCCTTGTTTTGGAACTTTTACTTTTTTTAGGTGTTTTTTGTGTAAACTAAAGAAAATTATTTAATAAAAAATTATAAAAATTTATTAAAGTGAAATTTAATGAACATTTTACAAAATTATGAGAAGACATAATGGTTTATTTTTGATTGAAAACGAAAGACACTATAAAACCATAATTTAGGTATGAAATTTTTTAAATGTAACGGCGATGTCATTTATTAGTGATATGCAGGTAATGTGAATAATTACTAAAATATATAAAATTTATTGGATTGTTCGTTACATTTGAATATGTGAGATTCAACTTCGCATGTATTTATTACCATTACGGGATACACATTACAATGATGATGTGTTAATTTACGCTATTATCATTGAATTTTTAATCCATTTTGTATCAAAAATAATTTACATATTATTAATTTAATTTTTAAGCTTATATCCATTTTTTTATTGTCCATGATACACTAGTTACATAATACATTCAACAACTTGTTTGTTTCAATTCAAGTTAATTAATCAGTTTTACAGATATCTTAATACATACCCTATTCTTGTCAATTTTATCACATACCTAGTATACATACATACCCTATCATTAAACCCCAAAGTCTGACGCTGCCTAAACCGAAGGACTTACAGAAGACTGGGAAGAAGTGGGTGACTTAAACTAGGTGGGTAAAATAGACTGATCTTTCGGGTGATTAAGATGAACTGAAAACAGGATTAATGAAACAAACAACAAAAGACGATTGAGCAGAAGTAGCTAAACAGTTAGAAACAGGATACAACATCACTTGGCTCTGATACCAAAAGGCGGAAGCAGCATATATATTATATATATATTCAAAATAGTTTATAAAATAAAGTCCAAATAGGTTTTTCACTATTGACTTTGATTAAACTATTCTAATAGTTTAAATAAAGTATATTCCAAACAGTTTGTTTAATAGTTCTCCAAACGGCTACTTTTTCAAATTTGTTTGGAAGGAAGAAAACTGCTTCATGTGGTACGGGCAGGTTTTCTTCAAATTTGTCCGGATCTGTATAATATTCAAAACAGTATCTGTTGCACCTGTTCACTACATGTAATTGCACCTGTTCGAGAGTGTGATGTTGCCTATAAATACATGGGTTTACCAACAGTCTTGGGAATGAAAAACAGTCTCATAATTTGTCTTTTTTGCTGTCCAAATTATTTTTAGTGCATTATTCTTCATTTTAGATTTAAGAATAAATATTCAGAGAGTAAGAACACAGGTTTGGTTCGCCGAACAATTTGTTTTGAAATGCTACTACAAGTTGATTAAAGATCATTGTATCCTGGGAGATAGACGCCACTCAACCATAAGCACTATAGCGGGGCGAATCTGTCTTAAGGACAGAGTGTCACACACTCGACTTGGTCTTAATTTTATTTCGGTTCGATAAATAAATCTGGTATGTTATTTATTTATTTTGTTTGAATTTATTTCAAGTTATTTTATTTACACAGAAGATTGTTCCAACAGTAACTTTGTAAGATCTCCTAACCAAAAAGGAAATGTATCTTCAATCAAATTATGTGAGAGATCAAGAATCCCAAGCTCAGTACAACTTGCTAATGATCTTGGCACCTTCCCCTGCAATTTATTACCACTACCCCTGCAATTTATTACCACTAAAGTCAATCATTTTCATTCTTGTATGAGTGAGGAATGGGACCTTGAAAGTTGTTGTCTTTGAGATCTAGAACTAACAAAGAATCACTTAAGGTACTCAAACATGGCGGAATAGTTCTAGTCAAGTTGTTACTAGACAAATCAAGTGTGTAAAGAGATCTCAATCGACAGATCAATGGCGGAAGTTCTCTGGTTAATCCGCTATATGCAACACAATAAGATTGGGTAGCTAGTGGTGGAATTAGCAGTGGTCCTTTCATCATGTTATAAGAAAGGTGCAAAATGATTAAATTATCCCATGGAAGGATATCTGGATGTTGCTTAAAGCCTGTTGAAAATTTCTTTGAATACGTATAATCTCTAGAGTTTCTACGCTTGTGTTCAACATCCATGCCAGAATTTGGCCATAAATTTTGTTTTCACGAAGAGATAGCATCTCAAGTTTGTCTTGGAAGCGCAAAAAATTTGGAAATTCCATCAAATTGCATGTATCCAATACTAAAACCTTTAACTTTGGAAGAGTGCTATTGGAAGTGGTTTTGCTCGACACTGTTAATTTGTTTATGGACAAATTGGGATAAGTAAGTTTTCTGAGCATTAGAAAATTTTCAAGTTCCAAGTTGCCAAAGTTATTGGAAGCAAGTTGAATTATTTCAAGATTTTTTAGCTCAAAGAATGATCCTAGGATTGAGCCTTCCAATTGATTATCATCAAGGTCAAGAGAAATTAGATGGGTTACGTTCATTAACTAAGACGTTATTTCGGCACTTAAGTGATTGGAGGACAGGTTTAACAAAACAAGTTGAGTTAGGCTTGAAAGAAATGATGGGATCGAACTGTATAGATTGATGACATTGAGGTGCAATTCAGTGAGTTCAGTAAGTTTACCAAGAAATGGCAGGGTCCCTACATTAAATTGGTTGGATGAAAGCGCCATGTAATTGAGTTGGGTCAAATTACCAAGTGAAGCTAGAAGGGACCCTGAGAAATACTAGTCAGACAAATCTAACACATTTAAGAAACGAAGATTTCCAATCGAATCTGGTAGCTTCCCTGAGAAACTGGTGTCAGAAAGCGTCAAATACAGAAGAGGGCTAATTGGGTGAAATTTGGGCAAATGATGTAACGCCCTCAAAATTAACCCATTATATATCATTGACATGCATTATTTAAAGAAGACAATATATATTAATTCATTCATCAGAGGACAACAACAACAATTATACAATGACAGAATCTACGGAACCTAAGTCCGGATACAATAATCAAATGGGAAAAGACCGGGGTCGCTATAAATGACCAGTGAGATTTTTATTGAAATGTACATTGAGAATTTGAAGCTTTGGTAGATAAAATACGCTTATTGGGAACTCACCACGCAACCCACAATTTTCCAAGACGAGAGTCGTCAAGGAAGTTAAGTTCGCCAATGTATCAGGTACTTCAGAAGATATGCTCACGTCATTAAGACGAAGCACTTTGAGGTTAGTCAAGTTTTGAAGTAGGCTTCTGAGACCAAGCTTTTCAAGTTTCAGTAGTCCTGAAAATGATGAGTCAACACTGAAAGAAAGATCAATGGAAACGAATTTGGATAATTTTGAGATTTCCCAAGGGATTTGGCCAGAAAATACAGAGGAGGAAAGGTTGAGACTTATTAGCTCTGAGAGATGGCATATTTCTGGTGGAATGTAAGAGTAATCAAAATCATTACAAGAAAGGTTAAGTCTCTGAAGCTGAACTAGGCTGAAGAGGCTACTGCTTGAGTTGATAGAACAGTGGAGAAAACTGTTGCTGAGGTCAAGGCCAATCACATAACCCATGTCCGGGTCACACTCGGCACCATCCCATGAGCAGCAATTGCTTCTTTCTCTTTCAAGCTTCCATGATGCAACCTTCGGATAAGCAGAAGGATCACTAGAAGCGGATTTGTTAATTGAAAAGGTTTGCTTCAATTGTAATAGGGCAGAGCTCTCGTCTGCATGGCATAGTGACTACTCAGCACAGAAAGAGTTGGCTATTATTATTATAAGATGAAAGCAAGAGAGTAAGAAGAAAAGTAAATGCATGAACAAAAAGAGATGCAAAGAGGAACCCATATTCAGTTGACTTGATTTCTCTAAGCACTCTTGGATGAGCAAGACAATGCTAACATGGAGCTTTTTATAGACAAGATTTTGAGTGTTGGATTGGTTGGGGTGTTTGTTTGGAAAGATTGGGGGTGGGGATTGGATTTCATGTCTATATGAATTTCTAAAAAAATTAGGTTTTGTAACAAAAATTGAGTTTATCAATTTCTTGTTAAAGATTCTTGATTCTTAAGTTAAACCAAGTTTTGATGCCTTTGATTTGTAAAACAACCTTATTCCCATGTTTATCCATGAATTTATAAAGTTTATGTTGAGTTTTACTAAGCCCTAGCTCAAGAACATGCAAAGAAATCATTTTAGAACATACTGAAATTTTGGACCTGCTGCTGGAAGCCCAGAACCGAACGTGCAGTTTGGATTTCCGCATGTGCGGATTGCCCTGTTTCAGCCAACTTTAAATAGGCACATCTCCCTCATCCGGATTCCGTTTTAAGTGATTCTTGAGCCTAAATTCAAGCCCCGAAAATCTAGTTCCTAATGGTGGTGGTCTCACACCCAAATTTTAAGTACAAAAATATATATGTTTAAATTAGTGAAGGTTGTTCACTTTATGTCTACCCATTTCATGCTATTTCATCTCCTAACCCAGTTTCTTTTCGTTTCTTCCTATTTTCCTAGACACAAATTATGACCCATTGAAGACTAATGAGTTTAGAACCAACATAAATAATTGGTTAAGGCAAAGTAGAGATCGGTTTATTTGATTAAGAAAAGATTAAGAGAAGTAAATTTGATCAAGAGAGTAATTCTATGTTTCGATATGTTGTGTTATGTAATTGTGTTTGTAGGTCAAAACGAGAACATCGCCCAACTGCTACCAGAAGCCCATCATTGTGAGTAATAGTATAGTAAAGATATGTTTTTCATTCTCTATTTTGATTTATGTTCGACATGATCCTCTAAATATCGTATTTTGTCAAAATGTGAAATGAGTTATGAACAAGAAATATGAATTGTTTGTAATATGATATGGTGGGCCCAAGGCCGTTCCGTTTATGCTATGACATGATATGAATTGTTTGGTCTTTAAGACCTATTGATTTCTGGTATGGAACAAAGTGATGTATGAAACTAAATACTACAGTGGAAATCACCTCTAGAGTTTGTACAAGTCACCTCTTAGGTCCATATATACATGAATTGGGCCTCGAGAGAGGTGGAGGCATGTCGATGTTCCATCTACTCCATGATAAAATACAATGATACAATATGATATGTTTGGACCTAAGGTCGTTTTGATAAATGATTGGGATTGAGGCCGTTTTGATATATGATTGGGCCCAATGCCGTTTTGTTATATGTGGACCCGAGGTCATTTAGAAAATATGATATGAATACAAATATTTTTACATCACTATATTATTCATGTTACGAAATGTTATTTTATATGAATGAATGGATGTCCTATTTTGAAATGTGATTCTGACCCTTTGTATAAGTAGGCGTACCACATACCACGTAAAATGTTTTGTAATGATTTCAGATGAAAAACATGGATTTTGATACGATAAATGTTTGTTTTAAAATGATTTAAGATACGTTTTAGAATTGTGAAATATGTTTTTCTAATGTTAAGGACATCATTCATTAAGCTCTTTATTTCATTGTTACTCACTAGGCGTTAGCTCACTTTTTTACTTTATATATATGTAGGTGAGCCATCGAAGGATCAACATTAGAGTTTGTATCGAAGTCCGCCTCTCTGTCAAGCCTCCCAAGAAGTGCATCCGTGTAGAGGCGTAGTGTTATTTTGTCTAGTTTAGTTTTGTTTCAAGTCTTTCATAGTGTGTGAGATCTGTATAAGCTCTATTATTGTATATGTGAATATTGAGAGTGTAGTTAAATAGCTTTATTATTTCAGGTCATCATGTATGCACAGCTCAATGGACATTTATTTTTTTTGTTTTGCTTCTGCTTTAGGCCTCGATATGATTTGAATATTTTGAAATTTTGTCTTTGAGACCTGAGTACAGGCCGGTCATGACCTAAACTTTTAGGAACAGGTTTGGGTCGTGACAATTCTACTTAAAGTTTGAGAAGTTTAGTTATAAAAATAAAATAAAATAAAAATTAGAGAAGTTTAGGACATCATTTGGGGTTTGGTTTTTTCAATATATATATATATATATATATATATATTTAACATTTAGGTTGTTTTATAAGGTGAAAAAAGTCAAATGTATTTGATAATGACTTTTTTTAGTTGAATGAAAAAAACGTATTGACTGGTATGTATGACATGTTTTTTTAGCAGCTTTTAGCTTTTTGTTTTTGTAATTTTTTTTAAAAAAAATTATTTGGTTTAATTTTAGAATCATGATTTGAGTGTGGAGTTATATTTTAAAAGATAAGTCTTTGAAATGAGTTTTAAAAAGAGAAAATTTGTTTGGTTATGAGTTTTAAAAAAAGTTTTGAGTTTTGAGTTGTATTTTGAATTTGTTTTGGGTTTATTTTTTTAAAATATTTAAAATTTTGTTTAATTTTATTTTTTTGGGTAAATATTTTTTTTATGTACGAGCTATTTACTACATTTGTGCACTGTATTTTTCAAATATTTTTTTAAAAAATCTTGGATCGTCCATTTAAATATTTAAAAAATTTTGGATCGCCTATGTATATCTAAATCATAACAAATTATTTGGCCAATACTTTAAAAAATAACAAAATATTTTTTTTGCAAAAATAAATAAAATAAAATAATTTTTCTTCAAAAATAAAAATAAAAAAATTTCTAATTTTTTTTCAAAAAATAAAAATAAAATATAATTTTAAAGAAAAAAATAAAAATAAAAATTGATTTTTTTTTTTAAATAGAGTTTTGAAAAGAATTTGGTTATGAGTTTTGAAAAGGTTTTGAATTGAGTGTTTAGTTATGAGTTTTGAAACTTTTTGATTGGAATTATGATTTCAAAACTTAACCAAACGCTACCTTAGCTTCTTTTTTCTTTTTGGGTTTTTTTTGTTTTTGTTTTTGAAACTTTTAACCTAAAAGTCAAATTTTCAAACAAGACCTAAATATTGTTTAGTTTAGAAGTTATTTTTTTTTAGGCATTTACATACCGGTCCTAATTTATGAATGAACTTATACTCCATTAAGTTTTAACTAATATTTTATGGACCTTCAAGTCTCATTAAATTTTTAATAGTCAAAATTGTCCATCAAACAATGGTTGTTCATCATTTATGATTATTTATAAAAGAATATGATGATTTGATATTTACTTTGATTTTCAAAACTTTAAAACATCAACTTTCAAATTGAGAAAACTAAAAAAAAAAAAAAAAAATTATGTACAAAAGAAAAATTGAAAAAATTAAAAAATTTAAATTATTTTTTTGTGCAAAACTGAAAATTTTGTGTCTATAAAGGAGCATGATGATGGAACATTGAAGTACAAAACTAAGAAAGAAAACCTTTAAAAATGAAAAAACTGACAATGTTCTCAATTTTAAAATTAGAAAAAAAAATTACAGCTTGTTTGGTTAGAGTTTTCAAAAAACACTCTTCAGAAAATTCTACTTTTTTATTTTCCGTATTTTTTTATTTTTACTGATTTTTTTTTAATATTTTAAGTAATTTTTTTTAATTTTTAGACATACTTAACATAAATATACTTAAAAAGTAAAAAAAATTGTGAAAAAACCTTTTAAAAATTCACTAAATACCAAAAAAACAAAAAAATAAAAATACAAGTATTCAATACATTTTTTTGTATTTCTATGTATTTATTGATTTTTTGAAATATTTTTTCACAATTTTTTTACTTTTTAGATACATCTAAGTAAGATGCATCTAAAAAAGTAAAAAAAATGTTTAAAATTTTAAAAATATTCACTAAAAACCAAAAAAAAAAACACAAAAATAAAAAAACTCAAACCAAACAATGTTATCGGTTTTATTAGATAGTTGAATCAAACCAATAAGTAGAATGGTAAAAACGTTTATTCTTAAGCTCTGCTTTTTTTTCTTTTTCTTTTTCTATCAGTTAGTGAAATAATTATCTAAAATATTACTATGCAAAATTGATAATGTTCTTAGTTTTAAAATTTCTTAAAAAAAATGATAATATTCGCAGTTTTACTAAATAAGATTTTTTGGTTCAATAAATTTTAAATAAGACCTAAGTTACCATAACATTTATAAATAAAATTTTTAAATAATTAACCTTTTTGTTTTCCGTCCAAAATTTGTGAAACTTGAACATACGAGGTGACCACCTCTAAAAATTTCTAAAGTCATCACTTAGGGTTTGTTTGGGGTATCCTAAATAAGTGTTCTTTTTGTTTTTTTGGACTAAAAAATTGAGGGGAAAAAATAGATGTTTGGATTAATTTTTTGACTTTTTATGAAAAAATATGTATTAAAAAATTGTATAAATTAGTGTGTAGGAGAAAATTAGTATTGGGAGTTGTGCAGCCGTAATTTTTGACTTTTAATTAATAGTGATAACTTTTTAACTTTTTAAGTAATTTTTTGACTTTTTAGCTTTTTTTACACTTCCCAAACTTAGCCTTAATAGATTATATATCATTTTCAATAAAATAATCGAAGAACTTTGTATCGTAAAATTAATAGTTGAATAAATTATACTCCCTCCCAGGGGCGGAGGGAGCACGGACCAAAGGGGTCACGTGCCCTTGGATTTTGGAATTTTTACTTTTTTTTTTATTTT